CTGAATCAAAAACAGTCGCTAAAAGAAACGTTGAACCAGCCTCCATGTGAATAAAAAAGGATGCCAGGAAGGACTCCTATGACCTATTTTGTGACTTCACCTTATCTAGTGACTTCTCGATAAGCTTAACCTCAAAGGGGGTGAATATGATCTGCCAGACATACTAGTGTTCTTAATTCAAGGATTCCAAACCTGTGGATCCGTGAGGTGTTAAACCTTAAAAGAGGAAATTTCTAACCCTCGGTGACATTCAGGTCCATACGATACGAGGATTCTTACAAGGGTGAGTACTATGATCCCTTTTGTTAAATTCAATAAAAATTGCCCAGTTTGACTAAATCTCATAGAAATCAAGGATGCAAATGAGTCGTGATAGTATTAGTCAAACCATTTGAGACACAATCGACTGGAAATCCACCCTACTTATTTTCACTAAATCTATCAAACGACTCAACCCTAGATTCCACTGTGGTTCTGGTTTAAAACCAAATAAGAAAAAGTTCCTAAAATTAGAAATGTGTTCGAGAGAGATGAGAACATACAGCTAATATGGAGAAAATACTGGCATATCTTTGTGGAGATTTGCATGATTAAAACTTATACACGAAGTCTCCTGGTGTCGACATGGGGTGATAGTTTAAACTACTAACAGGCTTAGCAAAATAAATTAACAACTGGGTAGAAACATGTTAGTGAAGGTACAATGATCTAGAAGGAAGAAAGGTACAAAGGATGATCGTAGAAGAAAGAAGTGAAACTGTTTGAATAAGGACGGGTGCTTTCGCCTTAAAAAATTCACTATGTTAAGTTAATGTGTCAAATCGTGAGATTTCTTCTTGTGGACTGCGGAGTTATGAACCTGTAAATTGGTCGTTATTGATAATTTTAGTCTGCCTATCCTTGCTGGGTTGGTCTGTCAGACGCAAGGATTTCTCCAGTGTTGAGTCCAGACTAAATGGGACTAACCTATTTCAGAGTGGAACCTCGTACGTGACGAGATGCGCCTGACAGAAAGAACGTAGTATGCTTTAAACAATCATGATATGATTATTCAGAAATCGTGAGATGCGGTCTGGTGTGACGTAGGTTTCAGACATTTTCTTTATCGTGCCAACGTTTCGATCTTTATTGAGATCATCTTCAGGCAATCATGTTATATTAACTACCTTTAACAGTTTTTCTTTGATTCAACTTAGAAACACACCATATAGTATTGAGATTACTACTCTTAGTTCTGTTGTCTCAAATAAATGACCCTCTGCGATAAAAAGTTTGAATGTTAAAATGTGCCCCAAGTTCGTTAGAGGGCAGCTTGACTTACCGTAATCCGAGTGACCGTCCGCAGGATTTAAAAGGGGTAGGTAATTCCCTGGTAAAAGCTTCTGCCCGGTCGCCTTTGATGTTTCCAAATAGGATGTAGGCCGCAGGGTTCAATTTTCCCTAATATTCGGCCGGGTGGATCATCGGATCATCTCATTGTTTCTTTTTTTAACTTTCTTTTTTAAAGCCACACTTCATTTTAGAATTGGCGATAATGAACCCGACGTGTAGGCTTGACGCGTCCGGACCTTTATCTGTACAATAGCTCATGGTTGTTTTCCCCCCCTAGAGGTTAGTCAAACGGGAGGGGTTTTAATCCTGCCGGGTGGGATTAATGGGGATTAACGGCCTTTATCACCCCTTCCCCGATTTTGGGTCAAATTATGCGGTACGTATGCAGAAACAACGGATAATCCGACAATACTTTCTTTAAAAAAAAAAAAAAAAAAACAGCAAAAAATAGTTGTTTATCAGGACTAATTAGACAGTAAACATCCCGACAAGGTTCCACATAACGTAGAAAAATATTAAGACGAAAGATTTTATTAAAATTTAAATAAGACGAAACCGTAATCAAAATATTAGCCCCAATATCCCAAAAAGGATGATGAGATCCTTTTTAAAAAAAGACAGTTCCTACTCATAGTAAGTTGTTTTCCAACGTCCGGATTTCGAGCCCTTAGCTCATCATCAGGTTGAAGGATTTCTACAACCACGTCTCTCGACATGAATTGCAAAAGTGAACCCACCGGTACCCCCTCCCAATGCGACGTTCCAATGAGAAGCTGATTTTTTAATGGCGCTCAATTTGAACATGCGAAAAGCGGGAATTATAACAAAAGCTAGATGAGATTATGTAATTGTGCGAAAGCTATGCTAACACGGACCAGAAAATGGAAATCCATGGTTTACAACAATCTTGGCGACACCTTCGATGGCTTTGATTGAAATATGTCTTCAAAAATAGTTTTACATGTTCCCTTTTCTTTGGTATTTATTAACAGAATAATATACGGGTCGAAAAGGATGGTAGACCGAAGGGATTCGTTACTATAGCGGGAATTACGTAATTTCACTTATTGTTTGGAAAGTTTTTTCTCGTCTTCATGTTATATTAATATATTAAGCTAATTAAGACACTTTATGTCGTAGACAATTAATTAAGGTTTTTAGTTGAGATGAAAAAAAGTTAATGGCACGAGAGGGATTCGAACCCACGACCTTCGGCTTGATACGCCGCTGCTCTACCACTTGAGCTATCGTGACCTCGATCCACTCGGACACTAACTTCCCATCTCAACCCCACCTTTTGAATTTTCCCTCCTTTTTGCCATTTTTCAAATGTCGTGTAATCTATTCTCGGCGACAAGAGCTTTAGTGAAGTATACTTCATTTTAATTCATTAAGTTCACTATTTTTCGTGGTCCGCTTGACCAATTAATATCTTTCAATTAATTAAGGTTTTAAGTTGAGATAAAAAAGTCAGTGACGCGAGGGGGGCAAAAAGGAGGGAAAATTCAAAAGGTGGGGTTAAGATGGGAAGTTAGTGCCCGAGTGGATCGAAGTCACGATAGGTCAAGTGGTAGAGTAGCGGCGTATCAAGTCGAAGGCCGTGGGTTCGAATCCCGCTCTTGACACTGACTTTTTTATCTCAACTTAAAACCTTAATTAATTGAATAAAGTTATAAGGTTATACATAAATTACATACTGCATCTTGTGTTACATATTAATTATATTATTTGTTATCGTATGTTTCCGTGTACGTAAGCTTAGGCGAAACTTTTTTTGTGTCAAGTCGGGGTAACTAAGTCAGTAACAAAAGTCCAACCAACAACTTGAATATTTTCGCCCCGAGTTACCAGTAGTTCCGAGGGTTGGAAATATTTGTCTCTTCCAATTGCGGAAGAGGACTTTTAGCGGATGTAATGCAATTCTTTTTTCACGGGATATTGCAGCCATTTCTTCTTGTCCCTCTTTAAGAAGGGAGGAAAATGAAGGTAGAAGAGAGGAAAGTGGATGTGACAATGCATATATATCAACGGCTACTCAACTTGAGTGGTTCCCTTGATCTAGTCAAGCCGTGAACGTGTAATAACAAAGAACCCGGCCCTCCACCCCCATCCGGTGCCCACACATAAATGGCCAATATCTCAAATTATTTGTAAAAGGAAAGTTTCGACCTTTAATTCATGGCCCGGGCCGGGGCTGAATAAATATCGGAAGGCCATTAGCTTAATAGCGGTTTTCCCTTTTCGCACAAGCATCCCTTCGGTTCGCCAAACTTCAATCTCAGACCTTGCTCCACCCTAATCCCAGGATTTACCTATATACCAGTTACACGTTATTAAAACAAGGCATTAAGTTTATTTCCCGAGGATAATTTATATATAAAAAAGAGTTTTACTTTCCAAAAGCGATTCTGGATTCTTTAATGTTTTTTTTCCTATTTTAGCATTTAGGATAGAGACTATAAAAAAGCCGGCTCAAAGACACATGGGCCATCTTACAAATCACCGATTGTACTGTTTGGGGGTTCCAATCGATGTTGTGCAGATTCCTTCTTAGATTGGGTCCCTCGGGGAATTCATTAGGCTATTATTCCACACCCCAGGATTCCCAACGTCACGGATCTGATCCTTCCGCTTGCCCCACGAGACCATCAGCGATGAAACACGCCAAATCTGACAATGACAAGTCCTGTAAATCAGTTTTCAAGGAAGACAACAAAACCCAAAGGAATATCTCATTACCATCAAAAATACTTACATCCTTATCAAAGAATTTATCCCCTTTGAAACCTATAGTTAATAATTTAACGAGATAACAAATACTAACATCAATCAATTAATTAAGGTTTTTAGTTGAGATGAAAAAAAGTTAATGGCACGAGAGGGATTCGAACCCACGACCTTCGGCTTGATACGCCGCTGCTCTACCACCTGAGCTATCGTGACCTCGATCCACTCGGACATCAACTCCCCATCTCAACCCCACCTTATGAGTTACCCTCCTTTTGGGGGTTGAGATGGGGAGTTGATGTCCGAGTGGATCGAGGTCACGATAGCTCAGGTGGTAGAGCAGCAGCGTATCAAGCCGAAGGTCGTGGGTTCGAATCCCTCTCGTGCCATTAACTTTTTTTCATCTCAACTAAAAACTTAATTAATTGTATAGTATTTATTGGTCAAGCGGACAGAGCTTAGTTCTGTTTGCACTGGGCAGCGGTTTCACTGTGGCCTTGAAATAGATCATATAGTCCGGTATTTCTCAAACTTATTTCGGTATTTAAACCTGATTGTATCAAGCTTGGTCTAATGATCGGAACTATTTACTAAGTATTGCCCTAAATATAGTGAATAGCATCATTTTTTTACGAGGGTATTTCAACTGCGAGGATATTCGAACCCGGGACATTTATCTTAGAGCTGTTTCAAGACCTAAACCGTTGCAGCTACCGACTCCCCTCAACATATTTTTAATAGAAAAACACCACTTTTAAAAACTATTTTAATTTAATTTGGATAATTTTCTCCCTCCCTGGGGAGTGGCGAGAGACACAAGGATTAAATTCACGAAAAGTGTATCTTAGCGTTTCACGATGTCCATCCGTAGGTACTTAGCTAATGGAGCTGGTTTTAAGGCGGTGGAACAAAACCGGTATAAAAATATAAACTTTACCAACCTTTGACGTACAGCATTGTCGACTGGGAATACTCCGTTCCAACTTCGTTTTCAGCAACGCATTCGTACCGGCCAAGATCGTCCTCGACTGTGTTCGTGATCTGCAGGGCTCCTGAAGAAAAAGACAATGGAATTGAAATTACAATCGACAGCATTACACAATACATAAAGTATACACAGTATTACACTACATAAAGTTTTTACGCCTTGCAATATAAAACAAGATGTACCCTTAAAATAATACGGAGGTGGTAGCCTGGAATCACAAAATCAGGACTATAGTGTGTGGTAGAAGGTCGATTCTGTCCAATTCGTAAATTATTTGCTTTGTTTGTCGGCAAATGAACAGCAAGACGTGTTTGGTATTCCACTGCATCCACAAGTGTTCGGAAAGTGGCTCAGACTTGATGGTAGTCTAAAGGTGCATGGTTAGGACCACATGGCGTGGTAGAAGGACGATTCTGTTCAATACTTATTAAAAAGTTGTTGCTTTGAATGTCAGAAAATGAATGGAATCCAGGCCATTGCTAGGAAGAGTTGGTAGACTGAAGGGGAAGGTCAGGACTACAGTGTGCAGACGAAGGTCGATTCTGTCCAATTCGTAAATTATTTGCTTTGTATGTCGGAAAATAAACTGTCAGATTATGTACTAAAAACTGTGTGTCATGGCTCACACTTGGTGGTAGTCTAAAGGTGCAAAAGTTGTTGCTTTGAATGTCAGAAAATGAATGGAATGCAGGTCATCGCTCAGAAGAGTTGGTAGATTGAAGGGTAAAGGTCAGGACTACAGTGTGCAGACGAAGGTCGATTCTGTCCAATTCGTAAATTATTTGCTTGGTATGTCGGAAAATGAACTGTCAGATTATGTACCAAAAACTGTGTGGCATGGCTCACTCTTGGTGGTAGTCTAAAGGTGCAAAAGGTGTTGCTTTGAATGTCAGAAAATGAATGGAATGCAGGTCATCGTTCAGAAGAGTTGGTGGATTGAAGGGTAAAGGTCAGGACTACAGTGTGCAGACGAACGTCGATTTTGTCCAATTCGTAAATTATTTGCTTTGTATGTCGGAAAATAAACTGTCAGATTATGTACTAAAACCTGTGTAGCATGGCTCACACATGGTGGTAGTCTAAAAGTGCAACAGTTGTTGCTTTGAATGTCGGAAAATGAATGGAATGCAGGTCATCGCTCAGAAGAGTTGGTAGATTGAAGGGGGTCAGGACTACAGTGTGCAGACGAACGTCGATTCTGTCCAATTCGTAAATTATTTGCTTGGTATGTCGGAAAATGAACTGTCAGATTATGTACCAAAAACTGTGTGTCATGGCTCACACTTGGTGGTAGTCTAAAGGTGCAAAAGTTGTTGCTTTGAATGTCAGAAAATGAATGGAATGTGGGCCATCGCCACAATCAAATGAACAGCCAGACTTGTGTCGTATTCCATTCCATCCACCTGGCAAGTGTTCGGAAGGTGTGATATTATTTCTGCATGGAGGTGGACCATTGATCGGCCAAAGAACAATAGTGAAGGGCCATGATCTGGGTTACAGGATGACTAGGAGAAAAGCTCGAATCTATATGTAAGGAGATATTTGTTTCATTTTATATTGACCAAAACCAAATATCTCTGAACAATGTACATTTGAGGAAACAGTCTATATATCAGAGGAGTTGGTACACTGATGGTGCCAGATCAGTATGCTGAAGAAGCTTAATGTCATTCTAATCGGAACTCTTTTTATTAACCAAAGTCGAGTAATTGCTTCTTTCAACGAAAGCTTCAACGGTGCAAACCCTCAGAAGAGTAGGTAATCTGAAGGTGCAAGGTAAGGATTGTTATAGAAGATCTAAGTCAAGTAACTCGGACGTTTTTCATTTTACTATATAGCAAGATCAAAATCGTGTTTCCAAAGTTCACTTGAGAAAATTGTCTAATCCTGCGAAGAGTCGGTAGGCTGAAGGGTTCAGGAGAAGACGGTAAGCCGTTGTAGAAACATGACTCCATTGGTAATGTTTTGTCATTCATTTTTAACTAAAGCCGAATGTGGCTTTTGTAATGACCTTCACTTATGGAAGTGTGTCGTGCTTCGATGAGAAGGTAGCTCGAAGAGGAAGGGCACGACTTAAGGATGCTGAAGTAAGCTTAATTTCGCACTCGAATCGTATTCTTATCTTTTCATTAACCAAAGCTTTGTTAATCCTCAGAAGAGTAGTTAATCTGAACGTGCAAGGTAAGAAGTGCATAAGGCTATAGAAGCTATTTAAATCAAATTTTATAAATTCACTTAAAAAATGGTCTAATCCTCCGAAAAGTTTGTAGTCTGGTGGGGCCAGGTCAGGACTATAGGATTATTTCATTGGTAATGATTTATAGTTCTTTTTTTAGCTATAGTCAAATATGGCTTTCCAAACGATGTTCACATGAGAAAATGGGAACTTGCTCTGATGAGAAGGTAGCTTGAAGGGGCAAGGTCAGCATGAGGAATTTATGAAGCTAAATGGGAATGTTGAACCCTCCTATCAATTTTGAATGAACCCATTAATAAAATTGATTTCAAACATGATATGATAATATGTTAAGTAATGTTAGAAGTTGATTAATATCAATCAATTAATTAAGGTTGTAAGTTGAGATAAAAAAGCCAGTGTCACGGGCGGGATTCGAACTCACGACCTTTGGCTTGATACGCCGCTACTCTACCATTTGAGCTATCGTGACCTCGAGCCACTCGGGCACTAACTTCCCATCTCAACCCCACCTTTTGAATTTTCCCTCCTTCTTGCCATTTTTCAAATGTCGTCCAATCTATTTGACTCTGGGCGAAAAAATAAAATGGCCACGGAGAGCTTTAGTGAAGTTATACTTCATTTTAATTCATTAAGTTCACTATTTTTCGTGGTCCGCTTGACCAATTAATATCTTTCAATTAATTAAGGTTTTAAGTTGAGATAAAAAAGTCAGTGACGCGAGGGGGGCAAAAAGGAGGGAAAATTCAAAAGGTGGGGTTAAGATGGGAAGTTAGTGCCCGAGTGGATCGAAGTCACGATAGGTCAAGTGGTAGAGTAGCGGCGTATCAAGTCGAAGGCCGTGGGTTCGAATCCCGCTCTTGACACTGACTTTTTTATCTCAACTTAAAACCTTAATTAATTGAATAAAGTTATAAGGTTATACATAAATTACATACTGCATCTTGTGTTACATATTAATTATATTATTTGTTATCGTATGTTTCCGTGTACGTAAGCTTAGGCGAAACTTTTTTTGTGTCAAGTCGGGGTAACTAAGTCAGTAACAAAAGTCCAACCAACAACTTGAATATTTTCGCCCCGAGTTACCAGTAGTTCCGAGGGTTGGAAATATTTGTCTCTTCCAATTGCGGAAGAGGACTTTTAGCGGATGTAATGCAATTCTTTTTTCACGGGATATTGCAGCCATTTCTTCTTGTCCCTCTTTAAGAAGGGAGGAAAATGAAGGTAGAAGAGAGGAAAGTGGATGTGACAATGCATATATATCAACGGCTACTCAACTTGAGTGGTTCCCTTGATCTAGTCAAGCCGTGAACGTGTAATAACAAAGAACCCGGCCCTCCACCCCCATCCGGTGCCCACACATAAATGGCCAATATCTCAAATTATTTGTAAAAGGAAAGTTTCGACCTTTAATTCATGGCCCGGGCCGGGGCTGAATAAATATCGGAAGGCCATTAGCTTAATAGCGGTTTTCCCTTTTCGCACAAGCATCCCTTCGGTTCGCCAAACTTCAATCTCAGACCTTGCTCCACCCTAATCCCAGGATTTACCTATATACCAGTTACACGTTATTAAAACAAGGCATTAAGTTTATTTCCCGAGGATAATTTATATATAAAAAAGAGTTTTACTTTCCAAAAGCGATTCTGGATTCTTTAATGTTTTTTTTCCTATTTTAGCATTTAGGATAGAGACTATAAAAAAGCCGGCTCAAAGACACATGGGCCATCTTACAAATCACCGATTGTACTGTTTGGGGGTTCCAATCGATGTTGTGCAGATTCCTTCTTAGATTGGGTCCCTCGGGGAATTCATTAGGCTATTATTCCACACCCCAGGATTCCCAACGTCACGGATCTGATCCTTCCGCTTGCCCCACGAGACCATCAGCGATGAAACACGCCAAATCTGACAATGACAAGTCCTGTAAATCAGTTTTCAAGGAAGACAACAAAACCCAAAGGAATATCTCATTACCATCAAAAATACTTACATCCTTATCAAAGAATTTATCCCCTTTGAAACCTATAGTTAATAATTTAACGAGATAACAAATACTAACATCAATCAATTAATTAAGGTTTTTAGTTGAGATAAAAAAGTCAATGTCACGAGCGGGATTCGAACCCACGCCCTTCGGCTAGATACGCCGCTGCTCTACCACTTGAGCTATCGTGACTTCGATCCACTCGGGCACTAACTTCCTATCTCAACCCCACCTTTTGAATTTTCCCTCCTTTTTTGCCACTTTTTTATATTAACTAAAAACTTAATTCATTGAAAGATATACGTCAATCGGACCACGAAAACTAGTGAATTGACTAACATCAATATTACTTCAAATACGGTGAAATTGCGACTTAAAATTACTGTGGACAAGAAAAATCATGATACAAAACGGACATTACTTAACTTAGATCCATAATAATGTTAGTAAAAATATTCATAAATTGGGAGATTTTTCGGTTTACGGGGTGCTGGACCAGGAATCCGGTCGTTACCTATGATCTTGGTCAGATATGAAGATGACCAAGGAGTCATTGGGTGGTATAGTTTCTTACTGTGTGCTACCACGAGGGTTAGGGTACCAGATCCAGTCTGCATAGACGGGGGAGGGTGCATAACCATCTGAACTACGGGGTAACAGAAATGTTCCAAAATTCAGCCCCTGTTACACTGGGAATGGATTCGTAGAGGCACGTGGCGACGCCCCTGGCGGGAACTTAGAGAAGAGGCTGTCTTCTACAACTGACCTTCGCAAGGATCTTGCGTATGACCACCGTTATACACCCGGCCTCACGGGATACGGCGGATCGGACGGCAGCGTATAAGCGTTAAGGACGCTATGATTATACTGGAAAGTT